TAATCAGTTCGATAAAAACAGTTTAACATTTACTGAGTATTTTAATTCTATGTCTCTACACTACAGTTTTTTTGTAGAGGGCCATTTAAATTATTACCAACAGCATTTGCATGGCAGCGATCACGTATAATTTGAATGCTGGGGTTTTTTTTGTCCCGGACTCAGAGTCAGGGTTGTTTTGACATTAAAATTTTTTGTCACTTCTTTCAGCCTGCTGAAGACATCAGTGCAGTGTCCTGGAATAGACAGGTTCAGCACATTCTAGCCTCTGCTACCCCCAGTGGGAAAGCAGTTGTGTGGGACCTGAGAAAGAACGAGCCCATCATCAAGATCAGTGACCACAGCAACAGGGTTGGTGGCTTTAATACAAAATACAGCAAGTCCAGGTCCACAGTTGCCGTCTGTTAAATCACTGCAAACTTCATTGTAATCATCTGCCAAACTGATCAGACTGTCTGTTCTTATACATTGGCCACTAAAGAGTAATCAGTGCAGTCTGACCGTTCCAATTATAGTCTGTATCTGTATCAAAAAGGGTGATTAGCTTTTCACTTTTTTTCATTTTTGCTGTTGAACCTGTTTAGAAATCCCCTTTTAAGTCTCCTCTGTTATGTGATTTCAGATGCATTGTTCAGGAATGCTCTGGCACCCAGATGTGGCCACACAGTTGGTGTTGGCCTCTGAAGATGACCGCCTGCCTGTCATTCAGATGTGGGACCTTCGTTTTGCCACATCACCCCTTAAAGTATTTGAGAACCACACAAGGTGAGGCTTTCATACAGTTTTTATATCAATCTAATTTTTGGTTTTATAGCTATCTTGCAGACTGTATGCATCTTTTGCTGGCATTTTCCAACAGGGGAATTCTGTCCATATCCTGGAGCCAGGCTGATTCTGAGCTCCTGCTGAGTAGTGCCAAAGACAACCGGATCCTCTGCTGGAATCCAAACACTGGAGAGGTATATGACATTAATTGCTGCTTCTGAATTACCTTGTCCTGTTATTGTGATTATATACTATATGTGATTGTCACATCATTATCTTCATTTTAGGTCATTTATGAACTTCCAACAACAAACCAGTGGTGTTTTGATGTCCAGTGGTGCCCTAGGAATCCAGCCCTGCTTTCAACAGCATCATTTGATGGGAGAATCACTGTGTATTCTGTGATGGGAGGGAGCTTGAAGGCTCAGCAGCAAAACACAGCTGATAAGGTGGTGACTCTTCTGTCTTATGTTATGTATTTAAATCCTAAAGGCAGTAAGTGAGCTGTATTGTTTGTCCACAAGATGGTGCCAGTGTGAAGGGCTCGACACTGACTGATTTCATTTTTGTCACAGACATGTACAAAATATAAGATTGAGTTTTGCCTTGAATTTCAGAAATAATCATCTAAAGTGGTATTGATTGATTAGTTGTTTTAGCTCTCATCTAAAGAATTTTGCTTACTAATGTTTAACATTTTATTTAACAGATATCCTCCTCATTTGATACAATGGATCCATTTGGTACAGGGCAGTTGCTGCCTCCTCTGCAAATTCCTCAGCCTGCTGCACAGGACACCATAGTTCCCCCTCTGAAGAAGCCACCCAAGTGGGTGCGCAAACCGGTGGGCGCTTCCTTTGCTGTGAGTTCAGCGTTGTATTACATTTTATAAGCATGTTAAGACATTAAATGTTCTCAGCATTTTCCTTCATGAGTGATCTGATGTTTTTATTACTTCCCAGTTTGGTGGAAAGTTGGTAACCTTTGAGAACCCTAAGGTGCCTCCATTGCAGAGCCCCCAGCCTGTCCCCAGACAAGTGTTAGTGAGTCAGGTTACCACAGAAACAGAGTTCCTCCAGCGCTCCAGGGAGCTCCAGACAGTGCTGCAGTTGGGTTCCTTCCACAGCTACTGTCAGGCCAAGATACAGAACACCAAGTCCGATGCTGAGCAGGATATATGGAAGTTTCTTCTGGTACGTCCTCATGATACCGAGACACGCTGCTTAAGTGTGTCAGTCAGTGTGGTGTTACCATATTTTAAGTCTGTTCACTTCCCCTGTTTACAGGTAAACTTTGAGGATGAAGCTCGCATTAAATTCCTCCGACTTTTGGGTTTTAGCAAAGATGAACTGGAGAAAAAGGTATCCTATATCTGGCTTGTAACTGCAGCTGTTAGCTGATATCTAACATTTGTATCCATGTCCTGGGCTCTAAATCATATCCAGTGTCTTAGGTGTAAAAATATTATTTATTCAGATTTCAAAATCCCTGGGGAAGAATTTTCAACCCAATGGACATGGAGTAGATGCCAAAGATCTGGCAGAAAAGATGCAGCGGCTCTCTACTGAGGTCAGCAAGTCCATATGCAGAATGTTCATTTTCAAACGGTTTTGGTCACTGTTATTTGCAACTCCTGTTTACTGTAAAGTATCCTTTGTTTTATTTCCAGAGGTCAGATGAAGCAGCTGCAGTAGCTGATGTAAGAACCTCAGGTTCTGTTTCACCGGCCGACTTCTTCAACCAGACCCCAAAGGAAAACTCCAACTTCCAGATACATGTATCATGTGGTAAAATCTCTCAGCTTGAAATATGCTTTATTATGTAATAATTTGTTAATATACCTTACATCTTGTCATTGTTTATTGTAATTGCAACCCTAACTGTAGTTTGTGTTGCTCAGTTCATGGCTAATGACCTTGTCGCTCTCTTGAAGATACTGATGGTTTGATCAGCCAGGCCCTGCTGGTTGGGAACTTTGAGGGAGCCGTGGATCTGTGTCTGAATGATGGCCGATATGCTGAAGCCATCCTGTTGTCTATCAGCGGAGGCGAGGAGCTACTCAAGAAAACTCAACAAAAATATCTAAGCAAGCAAAAGAACAGCATTTCAATGGTAAGACTTTGGCATTATGGTTATGTTGGTACAATCACAGGGGGAATTTTAACTTGATTTTACCTTGATTTCATTTGACCCCATCTGTAGCTTATATCATCAGTTGTGACCCAGAACTGGAAAGACATAGTGCAAAGCTGTGAGTTGGACAACTGGAAGGAGGCTCTCGCCGCTCTGCTGACCTATGCTCACCCAGAAGACTTTGCCCGTCTTTGTGGTAAGTGGCTCTCAAATATAGCAACACATTGATCCTGCTGCAGCTTGCCTCATGTCCACGAGCGCATTACTTTCTGATTAACATTTTTTCTTATCCTCTTTGCTGTAATTTGTTTTGTTTTTTGTTTTTTTCCTTGGTAGATACCCTGGGCGGTCGGTTGGAGCATGAGGGGACAGAGAAGCGCTGCCTGCAGGCCTGTTTGTGTTACATCTGCTCTGGGAACATTGAGAAGCTGGTGGAGTGCTGGGCCTTGCACAGAGACTGCTCCTCTCCGCTTGGTCTAGAGGTAGAATCTACCTCATTGTAGCCCAAATGTGAGAGAACTGAAGAATTTACTAGTTACAGTGTCATGTTGCTGTGCGTGTGTGTCTTTTTGTCTTGTAGGATCTAGTTGAGAAAGTAATGATGCTGCATAAGTCAATTGAACGCCTCCGCAACAGCGAGTTGGCGGTCCAGAGTCCCCTCCTAGCTGAGAAGCTAACCAGCTATGCTGGCATACTGGCTGCAGAGGGCAGTCTGTCCACTGCCATTTCCTACCTGCCTGAGAACTCAGACCAAGTAAGAGGCATAGCAGTTAGCTAATTTCACAACCCAAAATGAACAGGATTGCTCTATTTGGTTTCAATAAACACCTTTGTGTGTTTGTATAATTTTGTTTTCTCAGCCTGGAGTCATGATGTTGAGGGAAAGGCTGTTCCATGCTCAGGGAGAGGCTGTCATTGGACAGCAGCCTCCAAGCTCCATCAACAGAGTTGGTGTGTCCACAGTCAAACCTACTCCTGCTGCTCAGACTCCTGCACCAAAAGCACAAATTATGGTAAGAATTCATTAGCAATGAAAAGCATTAAATTGAGCATGAGTTTTGTGAGATCCTTTTTCCTATACATTTATGAATGCTTACATTTTTTTTTTTAAAAACCTGGTGGCTGTTATGTCAATTGCTATTTTTTTTTCCCCAACTCAGAATCAGTACCAGCCTTCAGTTCCTTCCCAGGTGTCTGCACAACCTCCAGTGCCGTCACTTTTTACCCCACAACCGCCTCCAGCCAGCACTGGGCCTGGCCTGCCACAATCTACTCATGTACTGCCGCCCAGTGCGACCCGCCCAGCCATAAGGCCTTCCTATCCCCAACATCCTGCTCCGGCTCCAGGTTTGACCATTTGCACTATACTTAGTTATTTCAGGCTGATTTGAGTTGATGTAATGGTCCTTGTTTGTGCCCTCTCCCAGGTTTTCTTCCCCATCAGCCATTCCAGCCTCAGCCTTTGCCCATGGGTGGACATTCAGCCTTCCCTCCTCCAGGTCCATCTATGCCAGCTGCTAACTTATCAGGACCTCAACTGCCGCCTTTGTCATCGACCCCTGGTGGCCTGCCACCTATGCCTAGCCCCGGGGTGCCACCAACGAGCTTCATGCCATCTACCTCTTTACCTTCAGGCCCCATGTCACCTAGCTCTCAATCTGGAGCCCCAGTTCCCATGTACCTAGGGGGCCTCCACAGCCAGGGGCATGCACCCCCTATGGCATCTGGTCCTTATGCTCCTCCTGGATCAGGGTATCCACAGGGAGGCCCTGGAGCTCCTGCTGTAAAGCCCTTCGCTGGCCCCTGTGTCGCTCCTCCTCCCACAGGTACACACCATGTTGATGACTTATTAGTTATTTGTTGATTCTATATGCCTTTTCACACATTTACCTAAGTATTTAAAGATAGAAACAGATCTACACAGCCTTATAGATATTTGCAGGAATCTGTTATTTATGGTGATTTACCCCTATTCAGCTGTGACTCCATATTTGACTTGCAGGATATTTTCCCTGGCTGAATTTCCAGTTTGACGATCAAGGTGACAGAGTTAGGGGAGGACATAGAATAAAAGTGCTCTGAAACTTGCACTGTGTGACAAGAAAAATAGAAACATCTGTATAGTATAATACAAAGCAGAATAGTGCATCTGGATATTAAGATTTGCTTTTGTACTAGACCGCATGCCATTGCACAGGGTTTCTCTATGTTTCTGGTCACACAGTGATTACTTATTGGTGTTGGTTTGTTCTGCTGTGTGCTTGAGGGAAATGTAGTCATTTAAGAGCTGATTTATGTGTATATATGTTAGCTTAAAATATAGTAAATAAAACCAGTTTCCAGGCTTCAATCAAGACACCATAGATTTTATTTTGGACCATGCCATGTCAACCCCTTAAAGATGACATACACGTTAGTAGTGCTAATTAAGGCTTAAGTAAAACATTGTTCAACATCTGCTGTTACATATTTGAGCTCATAAACAATCTATTAGATGCTTATTATTCTGCACTGGGATATTGATGGTGTTGCGTGATTACTGGGATGCTGCTTGAACATTTTGCCACTTTTGCTGTTTTGTTGTTGCACACGTCTGTGGCCTAATGCCAGGCTAACCTTAGTTCAAACAGATTGTCCTGTGTAGACAATCTTTGGCTGCTCGAATGTGTGACCACAGGAAATAAAATGCACAAAGTTCCTTTCCAACTCTCACTCTTTTCCTGATTTAGGACCTCAAGAAGGCTGGAATGACCCACCAACGGTACGAGGTGGACCTCGGAAGAAGAAGGTACTCCTGCATTTCTCACTACTAGCATAGTTATTTAGGTCTTGCAATTTTTGTCCAATCCTTAAAATGTTTATTTTAAATTCTGCTAAATTAGAAAAGTATACTGTGCAGCTGTTGTGGGCCCAGGTCACATCATTTTTTTCTAAACCAGCTTCCTTCCAAGTGAACATCATGTTACCTGTGCTGCATTAAATGGTAGACAAAATAAGAAACAAGCTAACTACGAGTTTACAAATGTCAAATATCATTCAGCAAATTGAGAGTTCCACTGGCCCTAAGTGGCCAAAAAACACTTAATGGAGCTTAATAAACAGCTGAACACAGCTCAGTCATGTTCTTATAACCCTCTTCTCATTGACTGGCTGCTGTTGTGTGTAAGCAGGTCCCTGAAAACTATACTCCACCAGCCCCCATCACAGCCCCTGTGATGGGTTTCCCAGTGGAGGCCTCTCAGTCTCACGACCATGCCCAAGTCCCACCTGGAGCCCCACAGGAGCCCACCATGCAGGTTGGTGTGATCTGAATTCTCTAAAGTAAAGCACACAGCAAACATGTCAACACATGGTGTTTGTGTCCTTGTTTTGCTCAGCTCCT